ATGCTTCTTTTCATAGTTTTGATTGAATTAGCTTTTGGGGATGCTATAGCCCATTCTTGTTTCACATGGAAGTTGCAATCTACTAAAATCCAAGTTCAAATCTGCGGAGTGCTAGTAGGTAGGTCAGCATGGAATAGATCAGGTAACAGTATGGGGGAGGGGGAAAACAAAGCATTGGCAAATGCCCATCTCTCACACAAGGTTCAACTGGGCATGCTTAGAGAACAAGAGGTCACTATGGGCACCAATGATATCCATGCAACATCATGTCAATTTGGCACGCTGTACAGGGGAGAGGGACACCACCCATTGGGTGAACCCCCTGTAGTGGATTTATAGGAGGACATAGACAAAAGTGTTACACGAAGCCCAGACATGGATAAGTTAGGATCTAGATCATTGGGGAGAGTAGACACATCAGAGAGACCGCAGATTTGTTGGTTTGTTGGAGCTGAAGTATAAAAAGTGCTTTTTATCATAACATACGTGTGAGCTAGGGTAGTGCTGGTATTATTATTCCCACTTTACAGATCATTAAACTAAAGATAAGTGCTTTGAAATAACCTGCTAGTCATCGTGGTTCAGTCCTTTCTTTGATATTCCCCTTGCCTGTAACATGGCTTAAAGAGGCCTTTTTTGTTATCCTTAGCATTTGCCTCAGCTCATTCTGGGTCTTAGCCTTCTGTGCTATCCTTACAGGACCATACTGTTGTGTGTTGCTGCTATTTCTTTCCTTGCTTTCATTAAAACAAACAAACACGCCCGAATCAGCCAATTAGTTCCACGTAGTCATGTCTGCTGGGCCCCGGAGGTCAGAACAAGGGGCAATGGGTGGAAGGTGCAGAGAGGCTCATTTAGGCTCCAGATAACTTCTCTTAACAATTAAAATAGAATGGTCAGCTTCAGGAGATGGTCCACTGAATTGTAGACATAACTGAAGGCCCTCAACTGAAGGCTGGATGACCATTTGTTGAGATACAATCGAGGGGATTTCTGACCCAGTATGGATTCAACTTGAGGGCCTCTGAACTCCAGTCCAAAATGGAAAATCTATTGAGTGGTGTTGATGTTAAACATGGCAGAAGTTGAGAGCAGGGAGAGATCAGTGTGACCTGGAGTGGTTGTCAAAGCCTTCATCAAAGAGATGGGTCTTAAGAGACCTTGTACTTGAATGAGGGAAGCCAAACACACATGAAATAACTTGAGGGTAACTACCAAGCAGGTTGCAGAGAGGCAATATGAAGGTGAACTTTGTCTGGCATGATTGGCTTTTCCTCAAGCCACGTCAGAAGCCTTCTCAGCCTCTTGCTCTCTTCTAGGGGGTTGCAAATTGGTTGTCTGAGTATTTGTTCCAGTAGCTTCCCATGAATGAATGTTAAGCTGCTGGGCTTGTAATTCCGGAGGTCACTCTTTTTCCCTGGTTGAAAGACTGGCTCTCCGTTTGCCCTTTCCCAAGCCTCAGGGAGTCTCCAGTCCTCAGTGAGTTTAAAAGTATAATGCCTAATGGCTCTGGCCCAACATCTGCCAATTTCCTAAGTGCCTTTAGAATATGTCATTAAGCCAAGCCAGTTTTCAGACCTCCAGCTTTTTAAAAAAGCCTTTTACATTATTTCCTGCTCCATCCTAGTTTGGCTTTTCTACTTCAGTCAAACAGGGCATTCTAACTATCTGATTTTAGCTGATCTTAGAGAACAGATTGGGAGGTGAAAAATGTCGCTGCCTTCCTTCAGTGCCATTAGTCTGAGAATATGCTCATCTTTGCTAGGAGGTGGTGTGGGGGGAGGTTGCTGGAGCTTTTTTGTGTCCTTCCTTTTCTTTTGCTTTTTTCATTTATAGGATTTCTGCCTTCTCCCTCATGTCTTACTTGGCTTCTTCTGAGTTAGCTTTCTTGGAGAGACAAAGTAACATAAAGGAAAGAAAAGACCAGAGTACATTAAGTTAAGGTTCTACCGTTTAGGAACGGTGATGTTGGGCAATAAACCAGCAGTTAATGTCTCCAATTCATCATCTGCAAAATAAGGATGAAGGCAGTTTTCTAAGTTGCAGAACAGGTGCTGATCTTTACTAGTAGAGGGTGTTTCCTCATCAGAGTTTCCTATGCAAATGACATCAGATTTTCTGATCCAAAACAACAAAGAACAAGGATAATAACACTTGCACTATAATAATGTCTCACAGGGTCATTATTTTTAACCACAAAGTACAATACGAATGAAAACCACTATTACTTCAAAACTTTAAGAATCTCTGATTTCCTTGGGTAAGTTACTAAGCATTTATTAAGTTCCTACTATGTGCCAGGCAAGGTGCTTAGCTCTGGAGATACTAAAAAAGGGCAAGAGAAAGTTTCTGCTCTCAGAGCTCACAGTCTAATGGGAGAGACAATATGCAAACAACTATGTGCAAACATTAGGTAAGCTAGGTTATGAAGTAGAGAAAGTGCAGGACCTGAAGTCAGGGAGACTCCTCTTCTTGTGTGTAAATCTGGCCTTAGACACTTACTAGCTGTGTGACCCTGGGCAAGTCACTTAACCCTGTTTGCCTCAGTTTCTCATCTGTAAAAATGAACCAGAGAAGGAAATGGCAAAACTACTCCAGTATCCTTGCGAAGACAACCCTAAATGGGGTCATGAAGAAAGGACACAACTAAAAACTATTGAATGACAACATATACAAATGTTATGGTGAGATGGTCCAGTCCATGGCATAGTCAAGTCATATTAACAAGCATTTTTTAAGCATCTGTGATGTGCCAGGCACTGTGCTAAGTGCTGAGATACAAAAATGGCAAAAGCCAGTTCCTGCTCTCAAGGTCCTCAAAGTATAATGGTAGATACATACAAGACATATATATATATATATATATATATATATATATATATGTATGTATGTACACACACTATATATATATATGTACATATGTATATGTATGTATGTGTATATATATATGTATATATATATATATATATATAAATATATATATAATAAGTTGGAGATAAGCAACAGAGGGAAGGCATTAAGATTAAGGAGGACTAGAAAAGGCTTCTTGAAGGTAAGACTCTAGCTGAGATTTTAAAGAAGCCAGGAGGACCAGATGATGAGGGAGAGAGTTCCAGGGATGGGGAACAGTGAGTGAAAAATAGATGGAGTTGAGAGGTGGAGTTTCACATTCAAGGAACAGCTAAGAGGCTGCTAACACTGGATCAGACAGAATATGGAGTGGAATGGGCATGTTATTTCCTCCACTGACATAGGCTGCATACTTCTCTAATTTAGAAAATAATAATAATGATAATGATAATAATGGCTAGCATTTACATAGTGCTTTAAGGCTAACAAAGCACTTTAGGTATATTATCCTATTTGATCCTCAAAACAATCCTATAAGGTCAGTATTATGATTATATTAAGATGAGGAAACTGAGTCTAAGAGAGGTGAATTGACCTGCTGGAGGTGACCAGGTATTGTTTTGAGGGAGGATTTGGACTCAGGTATTCATGACTCTAGGCTCAGTACTCTATCCACTCCGCTACCTTGCTTTGAGCTAGCGGGTGAGTGGCTCATTGCCTGAGAACTGGGGATAAGAATGTGTGTTTTGATTTTCTCTTTGTCTTTCCCCAGGATGAATTGCACTTGGAGGTATAATAATAATAATGCACTCAAATGGATCTGTGATCCCATCCAGTCAGGAGTTCCCTCCAACCCATCCATGCCTGTCCATCCTATGCAACTCTTGTCCATATCCTCCCAAAAGTTCACCACCCTGAGGTCTGCTGTAGGCCTTCCTCATGTTCTCCTGACATCTTGAAGGTGACCAGTGGAACATTGTGGCCTGCCATCCCTGACTCTGCCACCCACATGGGCCATCTTCTCTTCCTATCAGACAATTCTTTGTTAATGGCCTTTGTGCCTGTTCTCCTTCAGTGTTCTTTATTGACTGTATGTTGTAACCTGTTCACACCCACCATGTGCTTATTTTCCATATTCCTCTATGGGATAGTAATTTGTCATTCTTTGGAGGTAATATGGTTCCATGGCTCCATGGTTTGCCATCATATAAATGTGTATATGTATATGTGTATATATGCACATATAATACACATACATATATAATATATACATACACAGATATATATATATACACATATATAATATATACATACACAGATATATATATACATATATAATATATACATACACAGATATATATATATATATATATATATAATTATATATATATATATAATATATATATATATAATATATATATATATATATATATATATACATACATACACACACTCACCCTGGCAAAATATTAGTATTGAAAAGATGGGTATTTGCTTCGGTGAGAAGTTTGGGGTCAGCAAAAGGTCTTTGAAGAACAATTTTAGGACTAACTCACTGTCTATCTATAACTTTTGCCCTGTATATACATATAAATATATGTGTGTATATATAAAGAGTATACATACATACATTCATATACATGCACACAAACAGTATAAATATACACAAACACAGTATATGTATGCACAGTGTATGTATATATACACATTATATATATATATATATATATATATATATGCACACACTGTATATATACATATATGCAAATATATGTACCCAGTATACATTATATACACACACAGAATATATACACATATATAGACACAGTATATATATATACACACACACAATATATATATATATATACATGTACACAAACAGTATATGCGCTATATATAAACACAGTGTGTATACATAAGCACAGTATATACTCAATATGTGTGTTATGTACATATACACAATTATATATAAAATATATTAAATTATATATATTTACTGTGTGTATATGTGTGCATATATGCATACATATACGTACACACATATGTATTCACTGTTGGATAAACTCAATAGGGTGTTCATCCAATTAAATGTTGAAATATAGGTAATAGACATTATTTATTCACTTATTCTTCTCTGTGTGGGTGGACAGGTCCAGTGAATAAATGATTACAGATCTCTTTCCGGAAGTTTTGAAATATTATAGGACCTGATGTGATCACCACTATATCATCTGCAAAAAGGAGCTTTTGGAGGACCTCACCATACACTTGGACTCTGTGCTGGATCTTTCCTATCACAGTGGCAAATAAGTGAGCATTTATCTTTTGTTTTATTTCTTACCTGATGTTCATTGGCAGTGAGTCATTGAATAGGGTTATTTTTGTTGTATATTTTCTAAGCATAAAACAACAAGATGTCTACATCTATCCATGAATAGTAATAGTAATGTTAATTCACAAGGTATGTATATGTGCATATACACACACCTATATATACATACTATATATAATATACTATATGTATGTATATAATATCACCTCAAGATTAAAAGTTTCAAGTTTTGTTTTAAATTTAAAAATCTTAAAGTTCAAGATTTTCCAATATAGCATCACATCCCTCAAAGAAAGAGGTCTTGGTCATGAACTAATCACAGAGTCATAGGTAGTAGGACTTCTGGCCCAAACTCTTCCTCTTGAAAGGCCCACTTCTATCAGTGTGGCAAGGTAGTTTTTCACTCTGCCTCCAGCTTTTTATTGGGCCACAATCAAGCTACTTCCACCCCCAACCCATATACCCTTTAAGAGGTGGACCAGGTTGCCAACCTAATTTAGTTGCCCCCCCACATACAGGCACTTACTCTTTGGCTCACCCAATAACCTCATACCTACTGACTACTCATTTCCCAGATATCCTTGAGTCTGATAGTCTTTGGTTTCCTCTTACCATCTCCTTTCCTTAATCTCCCTTCCCCCCAGCCCACCCAACACACACATACTCACCACACATCTATCAATCATTTGTCATTTACCTTCTTTGTGGCTGCTGGGCCCTTCTAAAATAAAAAGACACATGCTCAAAATAAAAGGCAGAAGACAGTGCAGTCTGAGTTTGATATGTGATGACAGGATACTAGAGAAAGAGAATGATGAAAAGTGTTCGAAAGTTTTATTTCTTGAAAAACAAAACAAAACAAAACAAAGCAAACTCCTCCTTCCCAAAAAACAAACAAACAAACAAGTAAGGCTGTTATAGCTTAGATTTTGGAAGGAATGTGCTAATTACAAATCCAGATCTCTTTCATCAATAACTTAAGAAAAATCAGGAAAGCCCACTTGGGCCTTTCTCCCACATATGGATGATTATATTGAGTTTTAGCCACAGCATTCTTTGGGGGTCATTGATAAGCTGGTGTGTCAAAAGGAGAGCAGTTATCAGAAGAGTAAAGGTACTTAAAAACCATGCCATTCTTATTTCAGAAAAACCCAGAAAAACTTACATGAACTGATGCAAAGTAAAGTGAGCAGACCAGGAGAACACTGCACATGATGATCAACTGTGAATGACTTAGTTCTTCTAAGCAATACAATGATCCAAGACAATTCTAAGAGACTCATGATGGAAAATGAGTCCAGAGAAAGAATTGATGGAGTCTGAATGCAGATTGAAGCATACCATTTTGACTCCTTTTCCATGTTTTTTTTCTTTTGACCTATTTCTTCACAATGTGACTAATATGGAAATATGTTTCACATGATTGCACATGTATCACCTACATGAAGTTGCTTATTGTCTTATGGAGGGATGAGCTAAGGAAGGGGGGGAGAAAATTTGGAACTCAAAATTTTAAAAAACGAATGTCAAAAATTGTCTTTACATGTTATTGAGGAAAAAATAAAATACTATTTAAAATTTTAAGATGCTTATTTCCTTTAAAAACCACAAAACCAAAACCAAAACCATGCCATATACTGATTCACTAAAGATAAAGGACCAAGATTTTTTGCTGAAAAACTTCTAGAAAAGGCAGTTTCTCGTGAATGGGATGGTAGAGATGGAATCCTTGTTGACTCTTGACTCTGATGCACCTCGTATCATCATCATCGTCTAATTTATATAGCTTATTAAGGTTTGAAAAGTGTTTTACATATATTATCTTATTTGATCCTCAAAACAAAACTGTGAGGTAGTGCTATGATTATCCCCATTTTACAGAAGAAGAAGTTGAGGGGGAGGTTAAGTGACATATTTTGATCACTCAGCGGTAGTAAAAGTCTGAGGCAGGATTTGAATTTTGGCATTACTGATTCCAAACCTAAAACTCTACCACTGTGCCTCATAGAAGCCATGGCAATTTTGAGCACAGTGCACCTTTGTTTGTTGGATATGTTGACTTGAATTGGAGCTGGGGGGCCCTTTAATATCACCTAGTCCAAAGCTCTCATTTTACAGATGAGGAAACCAAAGCACAGATTCTTTAAATCGTGCAAGCCCCGAGATCTTTAGAGTTGGCAGGATTAAGCTGACCTTAATTGTGTGTCTCACTAATCCCTGGATGACAGGAAACCAGACAGGGCAGTGCCAGCTTCTGTTTTCCGTATCTTTTTCTCTTCATCTTAGTCATTAGCAGGTCCTTATCCCTGCAGTCTGCTTGTAGTACCTCCTATGTGCCCCACATTGCATGTGGCACATAGGGGAAATGGAGTAGAAGATATAGTCCTGTCCAGAAAGAGCTGAAAGATCCTCAAGTCTTGATGGGGAGATAAGGTTAAAACATGAAATAGAGAACAATGAGAAAGGCTATCATACAGGGCCATGCTGGGTAGAATGGAAAGAACACTGCATTTGGAGACAGGACCAAAGTTTAAATCTTGGCTCAGTCAACAAGTACCTGTGTGACCTTGGGAATTTCACAAAACCACCATATGCCTTACTTTCCCCATCCAGGAACTGAAAGCATTGGATTTTGGGGGTAATATGCTCTGTGATCTGGTGACACTGGTATCCAGTGCTGTTCTCCACATGGGACACTCCATTTTCTGACTCAGTACATTTTCACTGGCTGTTCCCCAAGCCTGGAATTCTCTGCCTCCTCTTCTGTCTCCTGGCTTCTCTGGCTTTCTTCAAGACCCTTCTAACATTTCACCTTCTACTGGAAATCTTTCCCAATTCTCCTTATTTCTAATTCCTTCTCTCTGAGATTATCTGTATGCTTCTTAATTTTATATGATTGTTTACATATTGCCTCTGCCGTTAGATTTGTGAGCTCCTTGTGATCGTGAGAGCAGGAACTATTTTTTTCTTTCTTTGTATCCCCAGAGCATAATACAGTGCCTGGAACCTACTAGAGCTTGTTGGCTTGAGTTTGGGCCATGGAATCCATTGTTAGTCTAGTGAAGTCTATGAACTTTCCCTCAGAATAATGTTTTTAAATAACTGAAGAATAAATGTTAAATTTCAGTTAGAGGTGAGTGAAAATAAAGATGTATTTTTTCTCCATGCAAGTCACAGATTTTTCTTAAATCTCTCCACAGACTCTTTGGGGGTCCATGGACCTTAGATTAAGAAATCTCAGATTATATTGCCTACCTCTAAAGTCCTTTTCAGCTGTAAACCTTATTGTCCTAAACTGAATAACATCAAGTGACCAAAACATGTAGTCTAGGCAATAAGGAATATGTACAAATAGGACAGAAAAGCTCAAGCTTGTTTGGAGTTGTGACTGGAAGGGTAATCAGTCTCTGCATCAGGTTTTCCCAAGAGAATGGATAAAGACACTACCCTTCAAGTCAGAAGACTTAAACTAGAGTCTTCCATTCTACCATTCCCTAACTGTGTCCTTGGGCAAATGACCTCACCAAGACTCAGTTTCCTCATTTGTAAAATGAGAACAATATTACAAGCTACTGAGTCTCAAAGTAGATAATGTAGATAAGAATCAAGTGCTTCATAAATCTTAAAACAGCAGCATTCATGTCAATCATTATCATATAATAGTAGATTGAGGGCTGGAAGGGGCCTTCAAGGTCACCTAGTCCTACTCCATTTTACACAATAAGAGACTGGCCCAGGGAGAGGTGAAGTGTCTTGTCTCAGGTCACATGGCTTAAGTGGCAGAGCCTGGATTTGAACCCAGGTCCCCTTCTTACAAATCCAGCATTCTTTCCACTCTTTTGATCAAGAGGCAGACTGACAAACTACATAGGGAGATGGCCTTGGATTCAGGACTACTTGAGTTCATGGCCAGCCTCTGACACATTAATAATGATAATAATAGTAAAAATAGCATTTATATATCAGGTTTACAAAGTGTTCTATATAACTATATACATTATATTACTTGATCCTCCCAACAACCCTGTGGGGTAGGTACTACCTCTTTTGTTATCCCCATTTTACAGATGAGAAAACTGAGTTTGAAAATAGTGGAATGACTGCAGGGTCATATACTATGTGTTTGAGGCAAGATTTCTTTTTTTTTTTTCCTGTAAGGCAATTGGGGTTAAGTGACTTGCCCAGAGTCACACAACTAGTAAGTGTCAAGTGTTTGGTCTGAGGCTGGATTTGAACTCAGGTCCTCCTGACTTCAGGGCCTGTGCTCTATCTCCTATGCCACCTAGTGAGGCGAGATTTCAATTCAGATCTTGCCAACTCCAAGACCTCTCTAGTTTTAGGACTTTATCCACTTGCCACCTATTGGTTATGCAATTTTCGGTTGGTCATTTAACCTCTTGAAGTCATAGTTAACTCTAAGTTACAAATGAGTTGCTGATCTTTATTAGGAGGAAGTTTCCACAACAGTAGTTAGTTGTTCATTCAGTCATTTTCCAGTCATGTCTGACTCTTTGTGATCCCATCTGGGGTTTTCTAGCCAAAGAGACTGGAGTGGTTTGCTATTTCCTTTTCCAGCTTATTTTTCAGATGAGGAAACTGAGGCAAACAGGGTTAAGTGATTTGCCTAGGGTCATACAGCTAGTCTGAGGCTGGGTTTGAACTTATGAAGAGTCTTCAGCTTCCAAGCCCAGTTCTCTATCCAACGAACTACCTAGATGCCCTATGGGTTAGTTGCCCAATCCCAGTGAAATCACAGGCTTGGAACATTTCTCGCCACCCCCATTCTCCCCAAAGATGAGATGTTGAGACAATTCCAGTCAGTCTGCAAGCGTTTATTAAGATCCTACTATGTGCCAAGCACTGGACTAAGCAATAGAGATAAAAAAGACAAAAAATAGTCCCTGCTTTCAGAGGAACACACATTGTAGCTGGGGAGACATGCAAAACTCTGTTTATTGAAGATATATACTGGTTAGATGGAAGGCAACCTCAAAGGGAAGGCCTGGTGGAACAGGGAAAGTCGTGCTGGATTTGGGATCAGAGGATCCAGGTTTAAATCCCACCTCTGCTCATGAATGCCTTATGTGACCTTGGGTAAGTCACTCTCTCAGCTCGTGGGTTCCTCATCAGTGAAATTGAGAGGGTTGGGTTAGATGCTCTCCAAGGCCCCTTCCAGGTCCAAATCTCTGGTCCTATGGTGATCAGGATGAGGACAATTACCACATGACTTCATTAGGCCTGGGGGAGAGACTAGGACATTCTAAGCGGTAGGGAAGGGGTACAGGAAGAACAAAGACATGCAGCCACATGTGCCAACAAGCATGATAATGCCCACAGGTAATCCTGCAAGGGGGAATTGGAAAAAGGGATGAGAATAAGAGAGTTGGAGAAAAGGCAGTCTTTTATCCTTTGGGTAAAGGTATTTCCCCCCCCTTTTTCTCTCCATATCTGGCCTGAAATCTCTGCCTTTCCTGTCCTGTTTTGCCCACATGTGGCGAGCAGAGAGAACTGCAGTCCTCCCCCCCCCCACCCCCTGTACCCCTTCTGTCTAAGGCAAATGTTCTCCACACTTGGGCTGCAGATCATGAATCGCCCCAGTAAAGGGTTCATTCAAGCCTAGGAGGCCTTGACACCTCCTTTGGCCCACCTCCTGCATATGCTAAGTGTCCCATCCACCCTCCACCCCCCACCGATCCCCAGGGCCTCAGGAAGCTCCCCAATCTGTCCAGTAGGAGAGGAAGCTGCCTGATCCCTTCCCCCACCCAACCTTCTGCTGCGTGACTCAGGGAAAACTGTGCATATCCTAGGGAAGAGAGAGGAATTGGGAGGGGGAAGGGGGAGAAGGTTGAGAAGTGACAACTTCAGGGTGAATAGTGTCAGAAACTGAAGTATATTCTAGGGCCTTTACTACCCTTCCTTCATACAAAAAAAGCCCCCAATTCAAATACACACACTTAAAGGGCTTGGGCTGAGGTGGCAGGGCAGACACTTAGAAACTAAGAAGAATATCAGCACAATGAATAGCGCATAGGACCTGCTGGGAGTCGGGGAAGTCTGAGTTCAAATTTGACCTCAGACATTTACCAGCTATGTGACCCTGGCAATTTGGCCTTAATTTCCTTAACTATAAAATAGGGGTGATAATAATAACACCTACTTCCCAGAGTTGCGGTAAGGGTTAAATGAGATAATATTTGTAAAGTATGTGTTAACAGAATATGGCGCTTAGTAGGCACCTAAGAAATGTGTGTTTCCTTCCTTCCTAGTCTGCAGAAAAGGCTTGGAAATAATCCCAACCCCTCATTTTAAATGAAAGCATTGGGTCTCAAGGAAGTGAAATGACTTGCCCAAAGTCATCCTTTGAGTTAATGGGGTACTTCAGCAAAATGCTTCTCCAATCTGATTGGCTGCTGTCTGAACCTGAGTCAACCGTTACAAACCCAGCATTCTTTCCGTTCTATTCTATTCTAACAAAGATCAGAGGCAGATCGACGTACTAGATTTAGTGAAATGCTACTTACCGTAGTTTATTTTGTCTCCCCTTAAAGACTATAGACTTCTAGAGACTAAGGAACTTTGTTTAATTCATCTTTGGGTTTGACACCAGATCCTCAGACTCCAAATCCAGAACTCTGGACACTAGCTATTGTACTCAAATTCAATAAACATTTATTAAGCTCCTATTATGTGTCAGGTACTGTGCTAAGTACCAGGGATACAAATAAGAAAAAGAGAGTCCCTGCCCTCAAGGAGCTTACAATCTAATGGGCAAAGACCACACCCATAAGGAATTTGCAGAGGGTGAAGGGGTACCAGAGGATACCCCTCTCAAGGACATGATGTCCGGTTTCAACTTCTGTGGAGTTGAAACCAAGCAGAGCTGCTGGTGGAGAATGGAGAATGGAACCTGGAGAGTTCAGATCCCAGGCCCTCTATGAAGGAAGGCTTTGGGAAGAATTTAATATGGCACCCTCCAGCCCTCCAATCAGAGAGGAGAGGAAGCTGTAGCATTGAGAAGGTATTGAGTATGGAGTGAAAATCACACTGAGATGCTGTTGGAGGATGAAGTTATCGGTAAAGTTCAGATTCCAGTTCTCAATCTATAAAGGGGGCTTTGGGAGAAATCTAGTGCTCTACAAATTTACATCCAAAATCTATTCAGCCACAATTACTTCAAATGCTAGGGTACTGGGGGTGTGGGGTGGGAGGGGAGGAAATATCAAAGCTAAATTGCTCTCGAGTGACTTCATTCTAGTAGGAAACGAGATATTTAATTATGCCACATAACACGAAGATCCCCAAAATGCTCTAGTTGCCATCCTACCTTTTGGCTTTCCCAAGCCCTCTATTCACCATGAAAGGAAAGAAATTCTAGAGCTTCCCATGTATATGCATATGAGATGTAAAACAAAGTGATTAATTTATTTCACTAAGATAATACAGTTATTTGCCAAATACTCTCATACCCTCTTGACAACCTCTCATACCCCCTGTGGGTAAAGAGACCTCAGGCTGGGAACTCTTGCTGTAGCACTTAGTAAAACTAACGGGAATTAGAATATGGTAAGTTCTCAAGCAAGGTACAAATTGTCTTTGTTGACCAGATTGCTGAATTCCTTTTGTTTAAGGCTTGGTTCCCTGGTTAAAATGTGACTACCCCAGGCAGCTAGGTGGAGCAGTGGATAGAGCACCATCTCTGGAGTCAGGAGGGCTTGAGTTCAAATTTGTCTTCAGACACGTGTAACACTTGCTTAGCTGTGTGACTCTGGGCAAGTCACTTAATCCCACTTGCCTCACAAAAAAAATTAAAATGTGACTACTCCAGGGAGAGACTGAAATTTATCAGTCATTTATGCTTTATTGTGAATGAATGTATCACCTTTTTTCCTGGGAGCAGGTTTTCATAGCTCACATTTATAATAGCAGTTAGTATGGCTGTAACAAGCACAGTTCATACCCTACTTTCCTTATAATTAGCCTAAGAGATAGCTAGGACAAATATTATTATGGCCATTCTACAGCTATGGAAGGGCAGTGAGGTGGCAAAGTGGATAGAGTGCTGAGTCTGGAGTCAGGAAGGCTCATCTCCCTGACTTCAAACACTGTGACCCTAGGTAAATCGCCTCACCCTGTTTGCCTCAGTTTCCTCATCTGTAAAATGAGTTGGAGAAGGAAATGGCAAAACTCTGCAGTGTTTTTGCCAAGAAAACTCCAAATGGGGTCATGAAGAATGAGACACGATTGAAATGACTCAACAATACAATACAGGTATGGAAACTGAAACTCAGAGAAATTGGGAGACTGAGCGATCTCGTGCCTGTAATAGTGGAAGTCTTGTGACTCAAATTCCAGTGCTCACTCACCAATGCTAGGATACTTCTCCTGATGGATTCCTGCAGGGGTGAGGAAGTGGGGTTGCAGTGTGAAGGTCGGAAGTGGAGCACCGCAAGGCTGAAAAAGGGAAAAAGAAGTCATGCCTTCTGCCGACTGCTCAGATTGGCTGAGCTGAGGCCCTACCTCAGGGACTACATTGGGCTACCCGGTGGCAGCCAGCCAATCAGCACATTGCCCCTATTTGGTGCTTAAATGAGGTCTCTGTGCCTTGTCAGGGCCTTCGGGGTGGAACCCTGAAGAGTGCAGGGCAGGCATGGGCCTGCCTCCCTTGCAGGCTGCGTGCCAGGGGCAGTGAGCACCCCACCCAGGCTGAATATAGACCCATGGTGACAGAGCTTCACAACAAGCCATCCCTGCAAAAGAAAGGCCTGGCTGCATTAGCAGGTGGGAAAGAGGGACACACATATCAAGCAGATGGGGAAGGAAGCCTTTTTTTTTTTTTGCAGGAGTGTGGAGGAGATTGGAGTAATATCTCACATTTCTAGAGCATTTTAAAGCAATAAAGAAAAGTTAATGGATGCCTGAAACAGGGGAGGGGGCGACAAAGTGGAGAGCCTCAATGTTTAACCATGTTTAGGGCATAGCAGAGAGAACTTCAGCATCCACGCTGATTGTAGATATTGAAAAAAAAACTAACAAAGGGAGGTGAATCCCGCAAAAATTGGTCCAGTGATACTAATAACGGCATTCATCTGAAACTGCTTGTGCACAGCAGAAAGAGCCAATGCTCTGTCATCAGAGAGCCTGCTTCTGATACCAACTATGTGACTTTGGGCAGGGCACATCAACTTCCTGAGCCTCTGTTTTCTCATCTGTATAAGAGGGTTGAACTCCATTGTTTCTAAGGTGCTTTCCACTTCTAAATCAATACCTAGGGAACTAGGGGGCACCATAGTGCACAGAAAGCACTGGGCCTAGAATCAGGAAGGCCTAAGTTCAAATACAGCCTCAGACACTGACCTTGGACAAGTCACTTAACCTCTGCCCAGCTCAGTTTCCTCATCTGTAAAATGGGGATAATCGAATGTACCTTCCAGAACTGCTGGGAGGATCAAAATCAGATAGTAATTGCAAAGTGCCTAGAACATAATAAGCACTATATAAATGTTAGCAATTACTATTATTAGTGCTATTTATGAAGTTACAAGAAGCACCCCAGCACCTCATATTTTTATTGAAATTTTTCTTTACATCACTTACACATATATATGATATAAAAACAAAAATATCAATAAAAATAAAATTACATTACTATCTCATATATATGCCTTCTCTCTCTCTCTCTCTCTCTCTCTCTATATATATATATATATATCTTCTTTCACGTGTGTGTATTCAAGTACACACATACTAAATATATATATATATATATACATATGCATATATATGTGTATTTGTGGGTATATGTATATATACATGTGTATATATATATATATATATATATTCTTGGGCAGCTAGGTGGCACAGTGGATAGAGTGCCAGGCCTGGAGTCAAGAAGACTCATCTTAAGACTCAGTTAAAATCTGACCTTAGACCCTTATTAGCTGTATGACCCTGGGCAAGTCACTTGACCCCATTTGTCTCAGTTTCCTCATCTGTAAAACTAAGCTGGAGAAGGAAATGGCAAACCGCTTCAATATCTTTGCCAAGAACATCCCAAATAAGGTCACAAAGAGTCAGACTGAAATGACTTAATAACAATACATGTTCTCTTCTAATTACCCTTCTTCCCTTCCCACAAAGCTATCTCTTATATCAATGATTGATAATGATTTTTAAAAGGTAGTTCAACAAAAGCAAGGATCAATTACATCTGTCAACATGTGTTGTGCTCCGCACCCATCATCTCCCATCTCTTCAAAGAAAGGAGGGAGGAAGGGAAGGGAGGTATATTTTCCCAACTTTTCTGAGACCAGACTTGATTGTTTTGTTTGCATTTACATCGTTGAGGTCAGTGCACCTGTCTCCCTTCCGAGATCCCTTTTAAGTTTCTTGAAGGCAAGATCTGTCTTTCTTTTTGTCTTTTTGTGTCCCAGTGCTTAGCACAATGCCTGGCCCTTAGGAAGCACTTAATAAATGTTTGTTACCTTCCTTTGCCTTGTGCCTATTGTTTTCCGGATTCTGCTTACTTCATTCCTGCATCAGTCTTTCTATTTCCTCATGCTTCTCTGAATTCTTTATATTCATTATTTCTTACGGTGCAGTGATATCCCAATTGCATAAAGGTTTCATGTTTTTCTTTAGCCATCTCCCAGCTGATAGGCATCTGCTTTGTTTCTAGTTCTTTGATGCCATAAAACGATATCCTTTACATTTAGGACTGAGCAGGGCATAAGTGCTGGTCCCAGGAGGTCATAGCTTCTTTGAATCCTCCCTCCCTTCCTTCCTTCCTTCCTTCCTTCCTTCCTTCCTTCCTTCCTTCCTTCCTTCCTTCCTTCCTTCCTTCCTTCCTCCCTTCCTTCCTTCCTTCCTTTCTCTCTCCCTCTTTCCCTCCCTCCCTTCTTTCTTTCATTCCAGAAGGCATTCTCATTCCAGAGCCCTTATCACCTGACATTTCTCATAGAATCACAGATCATAGATCCAACGGATCCGGATATTTAGCTGGAATGGAAGCCATCTAGTTTGACCGTCCTCATCTTATAGAAGAGGAAACTGAAGCTCAGAGAGAGCCTTATCTGAGGTCACAGATAGTAACAGGACCAGGGTTTGAATCTAGGTCCTTTGATTTGCAAAGCCAACACTCTTTCCGCAGCACCGTAATGCATCTGTTGCTTATAATTTATACCAAATTATCATGTAGCTTAAAAATAAAATATATCATTAAATATGTCACAATTTTTGGAGAGTGAAGGGAAGGATGGGCCTTATGATTTCGTATAGAGAATTCCTGATGAGGAAACTCCCTTTACCAAGGCAGAATAGTAACTGCCCTGCAGTTTAGAGCTTTAAGGAGTTAAGAGAGTTTAAGTGATTTGCCCAGGGACACATAGCCTGTACGTCACAGAGAGGATTTGAACATAGGTCTTCTTGTTTCCAAGATCAACTTTCCATGTTGTCTTTCTATCTGACATTTATTTTAAGTTTTATTTATTTAAATCTCTAAATTTTGGTCATGGATGTTCACCCTTCATTGTTTGCCCCACAGTACGGTAATCTGCTCATAACCCTACAAAGTCAGAGGGGACATTACTATTGTCATGTACCAGCAGTAGGCAGCAGGAAGTCACAAGGAGAATGTCAGCCACAGCTGCCTGCCCAGAAAGGGGCAGGGCTTGTCTTGGCTGTCAAGTTGATGGCTGTTCTCTGAAATGAAAGAGGAGATGAGGCAGAGATAGCAGCAACAGACCAAAATCTAAGCCAAGAACCATTGTGAACTATGTTGAGCCAGACAAACAGTCAAATTTGGAGATGTTAGAAACACCACAGCTGACTCCCCAATGTCAAGTGGTCAGCCAAGGTCAAGAGCAGACAGAAGTCAAGAACTTGGAGAATAGCTTGGTTTGCAGAGTTCTAGATGGAACCAGAGCAGAATATATGGGGTAACTCCAGACAATTTCTGCTCAAGTGGCTTTCTCTTAAGGGTGAACCAGTGGAAACTGGTTACTTACTCTCCTGATGGCTTAAAATTTTTATTATTATGAATTTAATACTTATGGGCCAAGAGAAACATTTCATTGTATAAAGAATAACAAGAAAGAGGATTATATAAGAAACTATAAATTTGTTATGTCTAATGTTTTAAAAAAGTATATATAGATTTAACAAGGTACTAATAAAATGACTCTATTCATGTCCCCTTCTTCAGTGTGCAGGAATACTTAACCTGAGGTCCATGAACTTTTAAAAAAATATTTAATTTCGATATATTTAGTTTTTTCAATATATTTAATATTTCAATATAATTAGTTTCCTTTGCAATCCTATGTATTTTACTTTGTGCACTTAAAAACCTTATCCTGTGAAGGGGTTCATCGATTTCACCAGATTGCCAGAAGATGCCATAATACAAAAAGAACTTGGTTTAAAGGGATCTACATATAAGGAGGCAGAGGCCAGGCATGTCAGAGCTGAAAGTCTAAAGATTCATTTCCAGAGTTGGTAAAGATATAATATGTTACCCATCCACTAGGAGTTGATGTTTTCAGTAGAAAATTACCTTAATTCAGAGGAACGAATATCTGTCGGTTGAATTCCAGGCAGCAGCAGCAGCAACAGCAGGAGGCCTGTGGGGGGAGATATTGTAAAGCTGGGGAGCTTTCCTGATACCTTTCAGACTATATCACTACAGCAGCTGCCTACTGTGCCTAGGGGTAAGGCCAGTTGCCAACTTAGTTACTTACTTGCCACATCCAGAAAGCAATTCTCTCTCCCTTGGGATGGATGGGACATGAGCCCTGGGAATTGGAGAAAGGGGGGAGGAGGAAAAGGTTCCTCATTCCTTTCTCCTCTGCCTCACTGCTCCTTGCTCTCAGGGAACAAACATTCCCCATCATAGAGTATGGGAAAGTTGAAAAGGAGGGACAGGAGCAGACTTTGGACTTCTCTGAGCTCCCATTTCCTCATCTATGAAATGGGGATAATAAACCTTGCCTTGATTTCTTATTCACTCTCTCTAAATTCCTTTGACTCTGCAGAATAAGCTCTTAGGCTGCTTTGTTTTAATTTTCCTATTACTTTAGACCAGGGCAAGAGGTGGGGGGTGTACTTGATGGAGATGAGAGCTTAGAGTTCTATTTTTTTTGCACTAGTGGACAGATGTTCTGAGGTATTTTCCTGGTCCCTAAACTCACAAGTTGAAGTTTTGACAAGTGGGAGCTGTACAGATGTTGGAACTACTCAATCGCTGAGCTTTGGATTTGCTCCAGATGCTGTAACATGGCTCCAGATGTTGCCTTCACCATCCAGACCTCACACATGTCTAACAGGAGGCCAGGGAGATGGTCTCCCTTGGGGAGGGGGTGCCTGAGGAGAAGGAGAAAGCCCTAGTGATTTCTGGCATTTCTATTCATTTATTTTCAAAGACGCAAAGCTCAGTTTAATCCTCCCAATGAGTTTTTTTAACCAGGATATTTTAAAACCTCAGAAAATACAGTTGTCCTACTTTACTGGAATAAGGACTGTCTGCGCCTAAGGGGAAGGCCATAGTGTGTGTGTGTGTGTGTGTGTGTGTGTGTGTGTGTGTGTGTGTGTGTGTGTGTGTGTGTGTGCTTGTGTTTGTGTCTATGTGAGAGAGAGATGGGGGAGGGAGGGAAGGAGAGAAGGAGGGACGGAAAAAGAGAGAAAGAAAGAGAAGGAGAGAAGGACAGAGAGAGATATCAAAGACTACCTCTGGTCCCTTAGTGAGGTTTTTCTCCTCTTTCTTTTTCCTTCTCAGCCTACTGCTACAACCCCCCTCCTGAGCAAGCCATTTGTTCCCTTTGACCCTTGCCAACACAAATGAGCTCATGTTCCCTTGATGAAAGGGCTCTGGATTAGGAGGCAAAAGACTTGAGTTTACATCTTGGCTCCTATTATCACTACCTGTGTGGCCTTGGGCAAATCACTTTATTTTCTAAAGAATGTTTCTTCATCTGTGAAATGGGGATAATATTACTTAAACAAAAGGATTGTTGTGAGGGTCAGGTGAGACAAGACGTGAAAGGGATCTGTAAAATCCCAAGTACTATACCACTACTACTACCACTACCACCACCACCACTACTACTGCTACTGCTGCTGCTACTACTATTACTACTACTACTACTACCACCACTACTACCACCACCACCACTACTACTACCACCACCACCACCACCACCACTATTACTACTACTACTACTACCACTACCACCACCACTACTACTACTGCTACTGCTGCTGCTACTACTATTACTACTACTACTACTAATAACACTACTACTACCACCACCACCACCACCACCACTATTACGACTACTACTACTACTACCACTACCACCACCACCACCACCACTATTACGACTACTAATACTGCTATCACCACCACCACCACTACTACTACTGCTAAAATGTTGACTATTCTATTCTAATTAGTGTACTTAAGGCTATTATCTAGGGACTTATAGAACCACCCTACTCCCCTTCTCCCTCCTCTAGGAAAACCTTTGTTCTGGTTCCCTGTTAGGGGGAAAAGGAAGGGAATAAACATTTTTATAGTACCTACTATATGCCAGTCACTGTTCTAGACACTTTAAAAATATGATCTCATTTGATCATCACAACAACCTTAGGAGGTAGATGCTATTATCACCCCCATTTTACAGTTGAGGAAACTGAGGCAGACAGCAGTTAAGTGACTTGTGCAGGGTCATACAGTTAGTGTTTGGGGCCAGATTTGGACTTGGGATTTTTCTGACTCCAGGCCAGCCAGTGCACTATCCGCAGTGCCACTAATTGCCTATTAGGCATATATAGGTTCTGAGCAGTGCCAGCAATATATGGAGCCATTGTTGTAGGATGTGGAGTAAATTCAAATGGGCTATTAGGATTGCAGTGAGCAGCGGTGCTGGAGAGTAAGATGGCTTTCTGCTTCTAGAGTGACAGTGAAAGGCTTTAGCTGGGGAGTTGGGTTCACACTTAGGGGAAGATGATATTGGAAGAATGGTGGTAGAAAGAACCAGAAATTCACAGGAGTAGTGCAGTGGATAGAGGGCTGGGCCTGGAGTGAGGAAGACCCATCTTCCTGGGTTCAAATCTGGCCTCAGACACTTATTAGCAGTGTGACCCTGGGCAAGTCACTTAACCCTGTTTGCCTCAGTTTCCTCATCTGTAAAATGAGCTGGAGAAAAAAAAATGGCAAATCACTCTAGTATCTTTGCCAAGAAAACCCCACATGGGGTCACAAAGAGTCAGACACGACTGGAAAATAACTGAACAACATAGATTTAGAGCTGGAAGGGACCTCAGAGGCCAAGTCCACCCCTCCTCATTTTACAGATATGGAAACTGAGCCATAGAGAAATTAAGCGGCTTCAAAGTCACATAGCTAGTAAGTACTCAAGGCAGGATTTGAACTTGGGTCTTAGGACCCTATGCAGTACATCGATAAAAACCATAACCTTAGATGCTTATACATAAATCCTCAAAGTATGATTTATGAATAAGATGAATAAGACAGAGAGGAACATTTTACTGCACATGCATGAAACCCATGATCCAAATATGGCTTTGGAAGAATAGGCCTCATTCAAAAAGAAAAGGATTAGAAGGGTTAGAATGGATGAAAAGCACTGTGTTAAGGAGATACTCTCCTGCAAGGAAATCTAGTAACTAGAGCAGGGAATCATGGTGGAGAGTATCTGAGTGAAGATTAATCTAGTTTGAAACAATGTATAATAGGAGAGGTGGCTCGCGGTGCAGTACAGAGAGCACTGGGCTTGGTGTCAGGAAGACCAGAGTTCAAATCTCATCTCAGACACTAAATAGCTACTGGGCAAGTTACTTAACCTTTGTTTGCCTCCTTCAGTCAATAACCATTTACTAAAAATGTACTATGTGCCAGGCACTGTGCTAAGCTCTGGGGATTCAAAGTAAGACAAATGGCAGTTCCCGCCCTGAAGGAGCTCTCAATCTAATTGGGGGGGGGGATAACAGCTGAAGAGATAAACACAACAGACAAAGACAGATAAAGACAGCAGATAAAAAGAAAAGGGGTGTGGAAGGTACAGGAACAGGGCATGATGAAATCCAGAGGAATACAGCCTAGTGGGAATTGATGAGGTGGCTCCCCTGGGCACCCTCTTTAAATGGAGCATCTAGGGGGGAGGTCTCTTGTGTCCACCTTCTCCAATCAGAGGGAGGGAGAGGCCTGAGAGGCAAGTTGGGGGCAGGGAACTGAGGAGGTGTGAGTTTCAGAATTAATGCAATCTTGTAGGATGATTAGATTCTGTAGACCAGGAAGAAATCTAGAAGGGCATAAGGGCTTGCCCCATCCTGATTGTTCTCTGGATGTTCTACAGTTTATCAGTATTCTTCCTAAGATTTGGTACACAGAACTCAATATAATACTCCAGATATGGTTTAACAAGGTCAAGGTGCAGTGGGATAATATTAAATTTCATCTTACTCTATTCATCTGTTATATTACAGATGAGTTTCCTCATCTTTAAATGGGGACAATAATAGCACCAACTCCCAGGTTATTGTGAGGACAAAATGAGACTATATTTGTAAAATTCTTTGCAAACCTTAAAGCAGTAGGTAAATACTAGTGATAAGATGGAAAGAAATGCAAGTTATAAAGAAAAATGTTAAAGAATGACTTGGTCCTGTAAAATGTAATGGCAGGAGGGTGTTTCATTTGGAGAAGAGAAGATTTGGGGGTGGGGCATGAGAGCTGAATTTGAAGGGTTGTAATGGGCAGGAAGGATGAATATTGCCTAGCTTAGTCTCCAAGGGCGGAACTAGGAGCTCACTGGTGCACGTTGCAAGATGGCGGATTTAGTCCTGATGTCAGGGGAAAAGTTTCTAACAATGAGAGCTGTCCAAAAGTGGAATGGGCTACCTTGGGAAATCATGGGTTCCTCCTCCCTGGATATCTTCAGTGGAAGGCTGGATGTCCACTCATCACATGTGGTATAGACATACAGTTTGGACTCACTTGTGTCTTAGCTAAATCTGCCACTCGCCATTTGGTTTCAGACTTTGGACCTAGATGAAATCTGCCGCCATTCATTCCAGACCAGAGTCCTTGGCTTGGCTCTTGCTGAGTGTGCCTGTCTGAGAGTCAGGCTCACACCTGGCCTTATCTTTAGCATCGAAGGAGACAGACTGAGAAGCAGAGGAGGTGGGGAGAGGGAGAAGGGGCATTTGCCAAAAATACATAATAACTAAATGAAATCTAGACATGTTTGCCTTTCTCTAAAGCTAACCCTGATTTGTTTGATACTTACCTAGCCCTTCTTTTATATCTGCAGAAGTGATCTTAAGTCACTTGTACGGGAATCTTTCTCTCACTGGATAGATCTGTTGTTGTTGAATCATTTTGGGCATGATCCACTCTTTGTGACTCTATTTGGGGTTTTCTTGGCAAAGATACTAGAATGGTTTGCCATTTCCTTCTCCAGCTCATTTACAGATTAGGAATCTGAGGCAAGCAGGGTTAAGTGACTTGCCCAGGGTCATATAGCTAGTGTCTGAGGGCCTGGATTTGAGCTAAGGAAGATGAGTCTTCCTGATTCCAAGCCCAGTGCCCTCTCCACTGTGACACTTTGCT